CCGTATTTTCAAACTAGGTATTTAATATAATAATTATATAAAATACTGAAACAGTCTCCTTTTTAAATATAAACTCGCAAAATTTTATACGTGTGGTTGTCTCTAACACTTATTCGATTCTCGTTCAAATCGTTTGAATAAATGAAATAAACACAGAACAGATGCCTTAATTATTTTGCACGAGTAACAAATAACATTAAATTGTAAGACACTCACCTCACCGATTTCCCCGCTGTTGCCCGATGCCTCCTGAGTCTCTTCCTCCTCTCAGATTTCCTTGTTGCACTCACACAACACTCACTCGCGAAAATCATCGATCACGCGAAATTTCCGGCACTCCCGTACGCGATGTGAAATACCGCGGACACACGAAATATTATTAACTCTTGCGGCTTCCAAGACTTTCTGTCATACAAATTACTCAAACTAACAACTTGCATTTTTGATTCGGAAGAATAGGATAATAGATAAATCACTTATATTGAATTGACGATATAAAACGCAACGCGAGCATCTAAAGCATAATCTGCGGTAAAGAAATAGTTATTAGTCCGCAACGAAACGATACTTTACAATCTTTGTCATTCAATCTAATCCTCGAAATAAATTATTTGACCGAAATTTTCAGCGATAAATAATTGCAATTAATTGCAACAGTTAATCGAGACCGAAAGATATAACCGCGACAAAGTACCACAGTTCACAGTAATATTTTAGACGAGTTAGTCTCGTGAAATATCTACGTACACGTTGATAAGAGCCGTCGCCTCAACATGCAATTCGTTTCTCATTACAAGTTGTAGAAACTTAATATTTAATCGAGGACCGTTACTTGTTACTAACAAAGGTGTGCAAATCAATAGCGTTTTATCCCTGCATTCGTCGCGATCGAGTCTTGGAGACCGATAACGCAAAAGTAATGCCACGCACGGAGCAACTCACGCTACTGCTTGCCGGCTCGACGTTCGGCGAGCGAGTCAGAGCGCGGCGACCTTCAGGTAAACATTGGCCCGCGTAACGTCGTACGATACCACGCCGGGTGAAAAACAACAAAAAAAACGTTGAGAATTCGTTGGCCCGCCTACGTAATGGAAAATTCCGTACTTAATACTTTTACATTGCTTTGTTCCGTGACTGTTGCTACGTTTTGTATTACTCGTTTTGTATATGTGTATTACTCTGCGAACTTATTGGCATTGATTAAATTAACGATTAATTCTGTTCAATCGAGACTACGTTTCGAAACAAAAATCGTTGTTAATTAAATTCTAATTATCAAGATTAGAGATTTTACCTCAATAGTTGGTGTATACTTCATTTGCTATGAATCTAAAAGAGAAGTGAAGCACACTGCGCTTCGAGAAAACATATGTTATGCATACATTATATTGCTATGTTGCTGTAATACAAGTATTACATTATAATATTTCTGAAGGCGGACATTTTACCGTTGCTGCAATAATATAAATTTGAAAAATCTAAAGAATATCATAATACGTTACAAATACATATATCTTGCAAACTTTATAATATTTCTACAAGGTTACTGAAACATTGTCGGCGAAATATTACAATTGAATGTCTCTGAATCGTCTCTGCAATATTACATTGCAATTTGCAATGTTGCAATGTTTCTGAAATGTTTCTGAAAGGTTTGATGCTGTGTGGGATCGCTACAATGTTGCTGAAACCTTGCTGTGCTGTACGGGAAGGTTTCCCAGTGAGAAATGATTCGTCGATTGACGTCGAAACGACGTCAAATCGACATCGACACCGTCGAATTGACGTCGATTCGACATCATTTCGATGTCGATCGACGAATCATTTCTCACTGGGTTGTTTTCTGTTCCTGCACTGGTAAACTAGCGTAATAAATTAGAGTAAGACAAGTATATTTTTTCTCATTCCAGCTTACTGCACTAGTTCACCAGTGCAGGAACAGAAAACAAGCTTTAAGTTAAATCAGTGCGCGCTAGTGCGAGCAACCGAATTCGCTATCAGTTTATAACTCGAGTTCAAACCCCGAGAAGTAACTTGAACGCCAAATGGAACATGCGGCGCCATCCAGCGGACACTGCTCGCAACTAATTTCAAAATTAACCGCGTCGATAAGATGCATTTCTAACAACGTTCTTTACCGACGCAGTCCAAAGGCTTCTCGATCTGCCGTAATCGACCGAGATTGAATCGGAGATTCGACTTGGAGAGTCGCCCGTCGTCGGTGGCGACGCCACCAGCGAAGGATCAGCTTGGAGCAGCTCGAGTCGCGATTGGGGGATTTCGGGGCCCCGGCGTGCCCCACCGCGCGCGACTCGTCGCGATGCCTTGACGAACGCGACGGGAACGGGACAAAGGACGCTGTGGTACGCAGCCGGAGGGACGCCATGTTCACTTGTCAACGTACGTCAAGGTGTTCCCGTGCGGAAGGAGCGAGTGGCCGCTCGCCGTCCGCCGCCGAATAGAGAAGCCAGGAGTGACCGAGGCGCCGGTCCGCGAGCGCCGAGGGTTCCTTCTCGCCACCTTACGTTCCATCTCGTCTCCGTCTCGCCTCGCCTCGCCTCGCCTCGCCTCGGCCCGTCACGTCATGGAAAGCGACGCCGCTTCCGCCGAGTCGCGGAAGCGCAAACGCGAGGAATACGAGATGCAGCTGTTCGGCTTCCATTCCCGTGCCGTGTTCGCGACTCGTAAGTCGCCACCCGCATCCTAGATCTCGACGCGCGCGCGACGGCTCCTCTCTCCTAGCTCGCGCTTTACCGACGAGACGCCGGAAGGACGGGGCTCGGGGAGGGGACGCCGACCGTTACGGCGGGCTCTCCGCGCTCTCTCCCGCTGCTCGTCCCGCCGACGCTGGACGGGTGTACTCTAGTTTCATGTGGCATTCGATCATGACTAGAGTTACACTCGTCCAGCGACCGGGGCGCTTTCGACTTTCCGCGAGGGGGGGGGGGGGAGACGCGAACGCGGCGTCTTGTTTTCGGAACAGCGGGGACGCCACGCCGGCGGACAGCGTCTTCGACGAGCGCGTCCTTCCTGTCGTCGGCTTGCATCGATGTTGATTTTCGTAGCATGCGCGTGAATGCTATCTCTTTCGTTTCCTTTTCTTTACCCTTTTATGCTCTCGTGAACTGTAAGTCAACAGTTGCACAATTGGAAAATTTGCAAGAAAAAATGACAACTTTACAAACGATCTTATTTGAGAAGAGACTGAAATTTTCTAAAACTTGCTCTTACTTGCTTTTAATGTAAAGTTGGATATTTTATTTGCTTTCTATGAAAAACTTGTGTCAAGCTTTTGTTGTATCCATTGTTCCGACTATGTGACTATTGCAAGTAACCGAATTTGTAAAGAGCCACGACCGCTTGTGATAATCTTGCCTTCCCTTTGGTCTGTTGTAGTCGAAAATATTGTGCTGGATAGGATACGGTCTAAGAACCGAAAGTTGTGCGAGACGTTGAGAAATATACATAAGCCGGATCAAAATAAATTGGCCGTGCTAAGCGCAAACGAGAAAGAACTTTACAGAGCGTACTACAATGCCTCTTCGACTCAGTTGGAACATTTAGAGGTAATTTCATATCAATCTATGTGCAATTACACGTCCAATTGCGCCACACTTGTCTCGCGTCTGAGATGTATCTTTTAAATTAAAAACTTGAAGATAAAAGTACATTAATACACATTTCATTCTAATTAGAGTATCGTGAACAAATTTATCGCTGTACCCGACAATGTACTGTCTGAGGAGGACGCGCCTCAGAGAACGCAATGGTCGAAACTAGAGGTTGAGGACGTGCTCAAGATGCTAGAAGAGATGCGGCGGAGAGCGAAATCTGTAGGTATCGAGGTTTTTGTTGTCGCTGAAAAAAGATAAAGACCTCTAATCGTCGCTATTTCCGTCGTATGCAAATGCTCCGGCACTTATGTGTTATGTAACTCGCGGTTTTTCCAGGTGCATATATTGAACGCGGTGTTGAAGGAGGAATTGCAGCTCGTGGATCAATTTTCGATCTGCGCGGACAATATCGATAGGCTGAATCAGATAATTGAGAGCGAGATCGCGTGCCCGGATGTCGGTGACAAAATTCATCGGTTAGTCGACGATTACAAACAATTCAGTGCGTTGGAGCGCGCTGCCGGCGACGCTGAGGCAGCACCCGTGTCGCAAAAGTCGCGCTACTATACGATCGACGATGTCAAATGTATAGATTACGATGTGGATACTCTATAATTGTACAGAAAAGAGGGAGAAATTATTTTTGCGACTCATCTCTGGATACTTTGTTGCTGACACTGCCTCTTTGAGATTATTGTATCTAATAAATGAATTCTGTAGTTTTTATACGAATGTTACATAAATGGCAATTTAGTTTTTTTTTAATACCAATTAAATGCTAACTGCTCTTATTTTTCCGATTTCTTTCTGCCCTAAGTAATTGATATTTTTATGACGGACTTCGATTGACTTCTTGATGCGATGAATTTTATAAACTACATAAGTTATTTAAAATATTTTGATTGTTTCGGAGAATAATTTTCTGTATAATAAAACATCTTGTATCGAGAAAATCTAATTGATAAGTTAAAGTTTTAATTTGTTACCGACTGGAGTTCATTGTTTACCGTCAGTTACTCCAGCAGGTGTTACTCAATTGTTTTCGGTTTTCTCATAAGGTACAGAAATTTCAAACTGTTTTCAAACGTCTTTTTTAATTATAGCGTACTTCAGAGCTTACAAATTTGAATGTATCAAACGTAGTTTTTCTCTCGATATACATATCTACAGTAATTAGCTACAAGATTGAAGGATTTTATTTTTGAATCATAAATTTCCGTAATCAATTAAAACCAAAATTATTTTAGAGAAAATTCTCCAATTATTTTGTCGAGAGATTTGTTGAAATAATGCAAATTTATAAGAATTGCGTCTACTGAACTTGTTCTTTTTGATAAAAGGTTAGATTCGTATTACGCATTTTTAAGAGGGTAAAACGCACGAGATAAACATACATATACACGATTTAAGAGGATGCTAAAGTCGTCTGTTTTACCGACACATTCGAATATAGTTTTTGCGCTGCTGAATCTTTTTATTGGTTTTTACGCCTAAAATAATACCAGGATAAATTGCGGACCGCATAGCAGAACGTTTTTATACTTGAAACACTCGGGGTCAGAAGTCTAATGAGAAAGATATTGGTATTTGAAATTTTCAATTTTTTAATCGTGAGCAATTTGAATTTGGCTTTATAAAATTATAAAATTCTTCCACGCGATTACAGTACGCGTAAAAACAAAGTGGGGGGTTCACGACTTTATATAAAAAACGAAGAGAAATTAAAAATATCAGCATGTGAAGCCTAACCACAATTACTTATAAAGCGATATTTTTAATTTCTCTTCGTTTTTTATAAAGTCGTGAACCCCCCCGCTTTGTTTTTACGTGTACTGTAATCGTGTGGAAGAATTTTGTAATTTTATAAAGCCAAATTCAAATTGCTCACGATTAAAAAATTGAAAATTTCAAATACCAATATCTTTCTCATTAGACTTCTGACCCGAGTGTTTCCAAGTATAAAAACGTTCTGCTATGCGGCCCGCAACTTATCCTGCTATTATTTTAGGCGTAAAAACCAATAAAAAGATTCAGCAGCGCAAAAACTATATTCGAATGTGTCGGTAAAACAGACGACTTTAGCATCCTCTTAACATCTCAACGTTCTAGCGGAATATAAAACCTCCCAGAGATATAGTCGTTTCGTTTTATTTCTCGCTCGGGAACCACATTGCAAGTATCCTTTTTTCCTGTCTTCGTTTACGTGTAGAAGCAAGAGAGAGAGAGAGAGAGAGAGAGAGAGAGCCATACACTACGAATTAGCCTTCTAATCGCCTTCTACCATCTAAAGCTTTTTTCTTACGCTTTAAAACAGTACGTTAACATTAACTGTTCTGCTTGTCCGGCTTTATTAGACTTATAATCATCGCAATTTGGATTGAATACTCAAATTAAATTGTAAGCTACACGAAAAATGCATTTCATTAATTGTGAAAGCGAAAGAGTCGAAGCGATGCCAATAACGAATTAGCGACGCTAACAATTAACTAATTAATATTGACTTAAAATAATGATTTAACTCGGTAGCCAGTTACGATAATTCGGAGTTTTCCTCCCTGAATAAACGCGCCTCCAAAAGCAAATGAGTATAAAATGCGAGTGGAACTTTCACTCTCTTTGTTTACGTGTAGAGGTAAGAGAGAGAGAGAGAGAGAGAGAACCACAAGATTCCGCGAATTATAATCGCCTTCTGCCATCTCAAGCTTTTTCTTGCGCGTCAAAACAGAACGTTAACATTAACCGTTCGGCTTTATTAGACTTGTATTCGTCGCGATCTGGACTGAATACTCGAATTAAATTGTAGGCTACATTTTCGCGCGTGAGATAACGCAACAAGATCGTGTAAAAATGCATTACGTGGACACTTGAATGATTGCGCAGGTGAAAGAGTCGAAGCGATGGCACTAATAAATTGACACTGATTAAAAATAACGCTTTAACTCCGACTAGCTAACGGCAATTCGCAGTTCTCCTCCCTAAATAAACGCGCCTCCGAAAAACAAGTGTAAGGTGAAAATTTTAAGTGAGAGATGACGTTTATGTTTATTTATGAAGAGTTTTATCGATAGTCGCATCGTTCACTAAGAGTTTTATTGGCGGTTACACTGTTTAGAAGTGCGTTGCAAACGCCTGGTTCATTCTTTACTGACAATAACATTGTACAAACACCAAGGGCCAGTTTCACAAACGTCGTTTAACCGCTAACCCATGGTTAGTTAATCCTCTGTCTCTTCTTGGATAACAAGATAGAGAAAGATAGGAGGTCGACTGAACTCTGGTTAACAGTTAACCGACGTTTGTGAAACTGGACCTTAGAAAACTATAATTGAAGTGTTTGGCATTGCATAAACGCAATCCGAACACTTGTAACAGTGAGTGCGTCACAAACGACTCCGTGTTTAAATTTACATCTCACAAACAATTCGATAAATGCTTCAGAACTCAAATGAAACATTCCCAGTGAGAAATGATTCGTCGATCGACGTCGAAACGACATCGACACCGTCGAATTGACGTCGATCGACGAATCATTTCTCACTGGGTCGACTCAACATTTAAACAAGCATCTTATAAACACGTTCCTTTCGCCGGGGTACAAAATGCGAGCGAGGCGTTCGCGAGGCTCCTTCGCGGAAAAAGAATTCGCGAGAAGGGTAGATGCGGAGGCCCAGGGGGGGGGGGGCGAGGTTTATACGCGGAAAATAATTGCGACTCGGAGCTGCGCGCGTAATAAATATACGCGGCGAATCTGTCGCAGAGGAAAAAAAAACTCCTCGACGTCCCGAGCGTTGCACATTTCCAGGAACTGATCCCCAAATCGCTCCCGGCTCCCCACCCCGTCTCGCGTACGGCCCGCGCGGAGATCAGTCCGCTGCGGGCATTCGATGGTATTGTGCGCCGATTACGATGAGCGACGACGGTGGTGAGGATCTCGTCGGCGAGTGCCGGCGCACCATGCGACTCCTGGAGATGCTGCGTCGCACGCACTACGAGCTCGTGCAGGTACGGAGCTCCAGGAGCGCTTTCGCGCCCGACGTATCCTCGAGCGCGGAGACGCGCGTACGGGCCGGAGGACGCGCCGAGGTAGCTTCGTTCGGCGCGAGAGAAATTAGAGTACTCGCGAGTTCGTACGCGCGCGGGTTTCCGTACAATTCGACGGCTCGAAGTGACCTTCCCGTCGCGAGCGAAAGTCGCGACCTGGAAACGTTTGCGATCCTCGTGGAAATTTCACTCGTAACTTCTGGTCTTGCCTTCCCCACCGAATTTCCACGTGTTGCCGCACACCGCCGCGTCGGCCGTAGCGGAATGAATCTCTCGATCGCGAACGGGAGCTGAAAAATATCGAAATTACGCGGTTTGTAAAAAGCGCGACGTGCCGGTTTCTTTGGAAAATAATCCGCCGCGTTTGGAGACGTTCGCCGCTCGCCGATCGAGAGAATCGGACGAGTGTACGCTGAAAAAAAAAGTCGGATAGATTCAACCGGTCGCCTGTTAGAAAATGGACGAATCAGAGTTCCTCTAGGATTTACCGAGAAAGGTATTTCATAACCAGAAGTCCGCTAGACTTCGCTACGAATCTGGTGAATCCTAAAGGGAATTCCGACTCGTCCATTTTCTAACGGACGACTGGTTGAATATCAGATTTTTTTTTCCAGCGTAGAGACAGCAGCGTTTTCGACGTCGAGGCTCGAGATCGCAGATCGTTTCACTGCGATTTACGCGATCTAAGGATTTCGCTCCGAGGGGCAATAAATTCACGATGAAACCGACCGACGACGCCCGTTTTAATTTTAGCGGAGACCCCGCTGTCTCGTATTAGGAGCCTATCTCGTAATAGGGGACTCTCCTCTACTTATAGTAAAAGACGCGACTCTCTCCACTCGCAGTTAGTTGTGGCAAGCTACCTTTAATTCTAAATTTCACTCGGGTTAAATAATCAACATCTCTATATGTCTAAATCCCCCCCCTCTTTCCCGCTGTCCCAATTGTCCAAAAAAAAACGAAAGAAAAAGAAAAAGCATTTTGTACGCAGGAGAACGGCCAGCGACGGCTGATGTCGCCGGAAGTGGCGTACGGCGATTGGCAGCGCGTCAAGGGCGCGGAGGTGTTCCTGGGCCGTTTGCCGCGCGACTGCTACGAGGACGAGCTGATGCCGTTGCTGGAGCAGGCGGGCCGGCTCCTGGAGCTGCGGCTGATGCTCGACTTCTCCGGTTCGACGCGCGGCTACGCGTTCGCGCTGTACGAGAGCCCGCAGATCGCCCGCAGGGCGTGCGAGCTCCTCAACGGCCACGAGATCCGGCCGGGGCATCGCATAGGCGTGGTCAAGTCCATGGACAACTGCCGGCTCTTCTTCGGCGGCGTGCCGAAGACCAAGACCAAGCCCGAGTTCATGGAGGAGCTGACCAAGATCCTGGACGGCATCACGGACATCTACCTGTACCCGAGCGGCCACGACCGCAGCCTGAATCGCGGCTTCATCTTCGTCGAGTTCTGCAACCATCGGGCGGCGGCGATGGCCCGGCGCAAGCTCATACCCGGCAAGGTGATGCTGTGGGACCACGAGATCGCGGTGGACTGGGCGGACCCGGAGCCGGGCGACCCGGTTGACGAGGACGTCATGGAGACGGTAAAAACCCCCTCTGGGTTTTTCTTCAAGCTCGAGCGACATCGCAACCACGATCGCCAACCTCGTTCTACGACTTTCTACGCTGAAGAAAAAGTCTGGATGGATTCGACCGGTCGTCCGTTAGAAAATGGACGAGCCAGAATTCCTTTAGGATTTACCGTGAAAGATATTTCATAGCCAGAAGTCTGCTAGACTTCGCTACAAATCTGGTAAATCCTCAAAATTCTGATTCGTCCATTTTTGGACAGACAGACGACTGGTTGAATCTATCAGACTTTTTTTTCAGTGTACGCAACTTTAATCCCTTCTTCCTATCTTTTCTTCAGCTCGCTCTTCTTCTATTCGCGACTGGGTATTTTGTATTCGCCGGGACTTAACGGTGCGATTTGAAGAGGCGGCGGTCGATAAACGAAGGGAAATACGAAAACAATATAATTCTACAAAATGAAACGAAATAAAAAATGCATACACGTTTCACTGGATACGTAACATTATCGAAACGGAGATTGAACAAATTGGAGCGTTTGTGCACATTGCGTTTTGTGTAATTGCGCAAATACATTTTGCATCAGCGGGGGGAGCTAAAAAATAAAATGGCTTTTTCACTTTCGATGGCTTATTAAACAATCCTATTACGCTCCGACGAAAATTTATTAAAAACGTGACTATCGCGCGCGCACCTTTCGAACGTTACAGAACGCGCGGTGAATTAACCGTAAGGCATATTAAAGTTATTCGCTGTAATTTTAATTTGACGTCGATCGAATTGGCAAACTTAAAAATGCACGCCCTAAAAGAAGATTCTCCCCCCCGTTTAATTTCCCGGGAATACACCGCGACGCGATAATATATTTCCGCGAGAATTGTGTAAAAAGAATCGCGCGTTGACGTAGGATAAATCTGCCGCGGCGAAATCACATTTCGTATCGCTGTATACATATATATAGTCTCGTCTAGAGAACGGCGTGAAACGGGATATGTTGCACTAACTCAATATCGTACCCGATGACAAATAGGTGACGGCTCTGTTCGTAAGGAACCTCGCGCTCAATATGCCGCAGCAGCAGGTGAAGGAGATCCTCTACAGGTGCACGAACGTGCCGATATTGAAGCTGAAGAAGATCAATCACTTCGCTTTCATTCACTACGAGAATCGCGAAGCCGCGCAGATCGCAATGGACATGATGCAAAGTGAGTATGCGAGCGACGTAACTGGAGCCCAAAAGAAAAAAAAAGAAGCGAAGAGAATTGAAAGAAGAAACTAAAGAACGCGCGAAGAAGTGCATGTAACGATGTCGTGCATTTCGACTTCGAAATCCTGATAAAATTATTTTCTTATCGCTGGTCGGTTTCTCGAGATTGAAGTGTACGTCGTTAAATTAATGTTATCGCTTCGCTTCAAAAGTTTTACTTCACGTCAGGCTTGCGAAAAGCCGATTTACACTTAATTTTCTGTACCGATATCTTTGCTTTCAGAATCGGATAGCATTGTCGAGAAGCAGGGGTGGGAGGTCCGCTGGGCGAAACCCATCGGGGCGTCCAAGATCCTGGAAAGGGAGCGATACATTCGCGAGGCGGCAGCCAACTCGGACGTTCAAAAGGCCGAGATTCCGCGTTTGAAACAAGGGAAGAAACGCTCCGTCAAAGCGCTCGCGAAAACACACGAGCACGATTACCTGCAACAGATAAGGCTACTGCGTAACTTCGTCAAGGAGAGATTCGACGCGACGTGTACCTTGGACTGCGAACAGATAGACGAAACTAGATACGTTTGCGATGTAAATACCTTAATAAATTCACGACTTCTTATCTTTTCATTTATGCCTGATGCGCTACGTTCTTTCCTTTTTGTCGCATTGTTTCAGATAACTATTCACAAAAATGAGGTAATAATGTTCGCATTTCGAGGAAATCCGTTGGCGTCGAGACAGAAAGCCATGAACGAGACGTCCGGCGAAGTGTACCAATATTTGGCCGACATGCTCACGAATAGTGGTATGTATAACATTTTGGCTTGGTGTTATATTAAAAGCTTTTGATTATTTCACTCTCTATTTGGGCGCGTTGAATCAAAGGCGATTTTGACAAAATGCTTCTATGCGGATTAATTCAACTCCGACAACGAAATACACGCGTAATATTTACAAAATTTTCGATTTTCAATAGTAACCGACAAGTATCGCTTACCACGAAATCCCGCTTTGTTTGCCCCGAAAAATATTTTTGCCATTCACAATGCACTGCGTTTTAATGCTATTTTGCGCGTACTTTTGTAGCGCAGCAACTGTACGAGCAGCATCATATTGAATCGGGAATGGACGTTAACCCTGCGAACGGCGCGCCGATTGTCTGGTATCCGGAATAGTTCAAAATTAGTTGAGCTATTGTTTTATCATTTTTTAAATACTTTCCTTTAATTGTTACATACACACGCGAAATTTATTGACGCAATTGCAAAAAGAGCTCGACCACTCTTTCTCGTCCACCTTTTAATTCGCATTTTAACGATAATTAAATGTTTATGTTGATTAATGAAATATCCCCAGTTCAACATTTCTAATTGTAATTCCGAGACAGTATACGCTTGATTATTAGTGCTCGGGACATAATCTATTTGCGTGCTCAAAATATCTTAATTCTAAATTATTACACCTTGCAATATTACGATGAAATTTTAATCTCTGTAACAAATATTACTCGTGACACACATGGCCATCTATTTTAACGACGATGAGGATTAATGAAGTTTCGCAATTCACAAATGGATTTTAAATCACGGCTCTTGGTGTATGTTGAAAAAGTGCCTAAGATATATTGAAACGTTAATTATTAAGATTGCAATACGTACTTGATATAAAATTATAATCTACAAAGTTTGATCGTACGATGGCCATTTTTTTCAAAAATTTATTTCGACAATATGATAGACGCATTTTCGAATGTGTTCATCCATTTGCAACAATTCCAGAAAGTTTGATACATTGCAAGAGATTTTATAACTTGTTACTTATCGTTCTTCTAAATGTGTAACATATTTGTGTTAAAAAGTATTACATTATCTTTAAAGTTCCAAGTGCGCTTTAAACCTCTCGTATTTTCGTATACACTTTTATTACACATTATTAAATGATATTCTTTTAAATACTCACTTCTCGCGTGATGAAAGAAGGTGAATATTTATATGTTTAGTTCAAATAAGATCGGCTGTGCCCAGAATAATCATTTTAATTGTAAGATACACATAGTATGCTGCATTATCGAATCTGTGATCATATAATAGGTTTAGTTCGTAATACTGTTATGTATAATTCGCATCGCATAGCGAAAAAATTGATTTCATAAAGGCGTTATTTTTATACGAATTTATAATCCCACCTTTTTCTCTTCAATTCGTCTCATCCTATTAATACAAAAGAAATACTTTTCATATTTTTTCAAATATAACTACGAATTATATAAAATGCTAAATATTGAAGTGTAAAATCGCGCGGTTCTCTTTTTCATCCATTTCGAGCGGGAATCAGAAACGAGTCGATTAGGAATCGTCGGTAGAGTATACGGTATATAAATTTACGGTACAAGTGTCTCGAGATTTACCTTTATCCTAAAAGAAGTCTCCGAGAAGACGGTGCCTTACAATTAGCGCGTTTATCACTTGAACGGGAAGGGGCTCAGTGATCGTTGCATCGGTGGCAGAATCGCGGAATAATCCTCGAGGATCCTCCGTGCCGTTTCGTAATCGGTGTCGCCGGTGGCGTTGCTCGGTCTCATGCAACGTACTAATCGCTTGGTCTGCTCGCTGCATACGCCTGGATTGCTCCTCTCCTGCGCGCTGAAGGTCTCGTACGTGAACGCGAGCAGCTTCTCCACGGCACAATCGAGCACCCTGTCATTCGGCAATTCGCCGCGGCCACTCTCGACGCAATCCTTGATTACGGCGTTCATCCAGTTCCAATCTTCCCACACGTCTGTCATCTCGACTTTCTGGTTCTCCAATTGCCACGTCAAACGAGCTCGGTATCTAAAAATGCGTTACGCATCTATAAATACTTGACGAAAGAATCATTTAATTTCATTAACGTCGTTTCAGCAGATTTTAGCTACTTAAGCTGGTTCAGCTTTTTTTTGCTAAAATAACTTCGCGGCTTCTATTTTAGCGAATCGGCGAGGTAATTTTGCCAGCGTCTTCGTTAATATTGCTAGTGGTTTTTTTGCATCGATATTTGGATTTAACTTACGGCCATCTCCACGGATTTTTGCTGAATTTTACTCTCTTCAGTTTACCCAGATAAGCGAACAGGCTGTAGTCGATGTAACTCAGTTGATTGTAATCGAAGTAAAAGTTCTCCAAATTATTAAGCATCTGAAGGACCGAGTAGTCGATCCACTGAATAAAGTTGAACGATAAGTCGAGAGTCTGCAGGGAGCGTTGCATGTTCACGAACCAATCTCCTGGCACAATCGTCAGTTTATTGCCCCAGAGTATCAGCTTCCTCAGCTTCGTGAGACCCACGAATGTCTGGGCGTCGCACGTCTCTATGCCCGATTCATGCAGGTCTAGAGTCACGAGAGTCGCCCCGAATCTCGCGAAGCTGTGCCTTTGGTGGGATCGAGTAAAAAAAAAATTGCGAATTACGAATCGAAGATACGTAGAGAAATTCGCGTCGGCGCGAAAGCGCGTGTAATGTATTCAATAAAGGGTGAATATTCAAAGGAGGATTATTCAAAATATGAACGCAAATATTTCCAAGTACGATATTTACGGGTGTTAAAAAGAAATGATAAATATCCTTCGTAAAATGAAAGAGGGGCGGATAGAGCGCAAAGTCGAATGTGTTAAAACGTAGAGAAGATATTATGCAAAATACACGATAGAGAATGCGGTTTGCTTGATGCTGCAAATGCTTCGAAGCATTCTTCTCCTCCTTCCTTTCCATAAAGAAAGAAGAATAACGCTTTGAAGGATTCGTAGTGTCAAGTAGACCGCAGTCGAAATAAAACGCGTTGTCACATCGCGCAACCTCCGGACAATTTCCTCTCTTTTCTTACCCGGCTATGTTCGGTATATTCGAGTCAAAGATCGTAATGATCGTCGTGTTGGTCCATGCTTTATCCAAGTACTTTTGCAACGTTGTTAATTGAGTGCATACAAAACTAACATTACTCGTTCGCTTGTACACGACCCTCTTGCACGGCGATGCCAATAAAACCGCTTGGAAGAGCGCGTAAAGAAGGCAGATAATTAACAATCGCTTCATCGTCCTGGAACTCACTCGCGACGAAATCTTTGAATTAACTAACAGTACTCGAGACAGCGAGCGATGAGTGAAACGTATGGCGTGGGGGCGGACACTTCCTCGTGGCCTCTTCTTCCTGTCGACGATAACGCAAATCAGTGTGTATAATCGTGTATTGAATAACCGACATTTCTCTTATCGCTATTACGATTACTTGAATGTCGCGCAGTCTTTTTTAAATATAATAAAATATCGAAATTATATGCATATTAAAAAACACGTGCACAAAATGTTCATATCGATGTTATAACGCTCATATTAAACCCACTTTAAATTGAACTCGGGCTCGAGGAATTTTATTTATAATTTTTCATACGAGTACACTTTGACAGATCGTTTTTTAAGAAATTTTAATTAAATAACATAAAAGCGAGAAATACTCCTCAAATATTTAATTTGTTCTTTCTTTGTTACAATGAACCGCGTGCTTATCTGCTTACGAAATCCGGTTTGTCGTTTTAACCAATATTTAAAAATTAGTGTTTATGGCAGGTGAAAGCAAATTTGATCTTTGTTTACGAAGTTAAATTAATTTTCCGAATTCATTCACTTCTAAAAAAGGCATGTAAGTCGATTAGTCGCATATCTCGAAGTATTGTTGCAGCTTTTCCGCGATGCTGATTGATTTTGACTATGTCTCGCTTGTGCGATACGACATATTTCAGTCGTGTTATTTGCAGCTGTCAAACCATGCGAACTTTTAGAGACAGCAAATAGCGCGCGCGAAGCGCGCGCTTGTCCCTTACTGAAAAAGAGATGTTACCAGCGCGAATGTCGTTAATATCGAACAGTTAAGGCCCTTCTCCGCGATGCCGATTGATTTTCTCGAAGCGCGATGTGCTTCACTTCTCTTTTAGGTTCAGAGTAAATAAAGGTTTACAATTTAGAAATACTAGACATGACAGAACGCTGTTTGTGGTCAAGCATTGTGTATTTTTAAGAATTTATAGACACGCGAAGAGAGAGAGAGAAGTAATTATGGTATATGCGCAACGTCACTTTAAAATAAAAAGTAATATGTCACTCACTGATACGAGTCGCAACAGCAAAGTTGTACATCGCTA